GTCACACAGCAGTGAACTTTCAGAGAGCAGCCGTTTTCACCAGCAATGCTTTTGTCAGCTGGTTTTCCTCACAAACAACTACTACGAATCAAATCAAATATCCCTCCTTTTTTCAATTTTCACTTTCATCTCTTGATTAATCTCACATATTTTATATATATACACACACATATAGATACAGTCCCACAGGTTTTGCTTGTTTCTCGCTCCTCTGCACATATGTTGTCAGTTCTAGAGAGAGAGAGAGACACTGTCTTTTTTTTTTTTCTCTCTCTTAAAACAGATATTCGTTTGCTTTAAAGAGAAACGAGGAATGGTAATAAATCGTCACTGTTGAATCTCTGTATATATATATTTGTTTTTTTTTCTTGTGAAAGTTCTTCACGCATGGTGGCGCACATGCCGCTGTCACCAACAACTCACCCCACTGTTGTTCGTTTTCGGGCAATTTCTTTTTCACTCTCTTCCGAAACACTGTTTCGATACAAGAAAACGTGACACTTGAAAAGGAAAAAGAAAAAAAACAAAAAGGTAAGAACAAGATTGCTGATGTACTTTTGTTCTTGAGCAAAAGGAAGCCTGGGTATTTCTTGTGGTGAGATAAAAATCGTTTCTTGATAATTTTCTTGGAGGGTATTTTGTTGTCGGAGAAAAATATGAATGAAACCTCGGAGAAATCGAATCCCTCTTTAGCTATTGTGGAGAAGAAACCTCAGAGAGGAGGTGGTGCTGGTGGGTGTGTCGGTATCTTCTTCCAACTTTTCGATTGGAACCGTAGATTTGCTAAGAATAAGCTGTTTTCCAAGAAACTGCTTAATCCACCCGGTTAGTTTTTTTTTTTGGAATAATAAATAATTAAATATGGGAATTGATTATTCATGTAACATGTTTTTAATGTTGTGTAATTAGTTCGGTTGAAGCAAGCTTCAAAGAAATATGGTGGGGATGAAAAGCAGCCAAAGCTTAGATTGGTACTAACTGCATTAGCTTATAATCACTTTTACTCATATGTGCTTATTATTACAAAATACAGTTGTCTGATTTCTTTTCCTCATTGTCTTAATTGTGCATATATAAATAGATTGCTGATGAAAATAGTGGAGGGTTTCCTTCGTCGAAGAATAATAACATCGAACAAAAACACGAAATGCGGGTTCCGGGCTTGGTTGCTAGGCTTATGGGCCTCGAGTCTATGCCATCTTTACATCGAGAGAAATCAAAGAAGTTTCTTGCATCTTCTTCTTTAAGCAGTAAAACCGAAAAGTTAGCGGATACTAATATCTATGTGAAGGAAGAGTTGATGAATGTGGAGAAGGGATGTAATAGTAACAATAGTAAACAAGAATCGAGGCCTCAAAAGCTGCAAAAGACGAGCGTCTGTGAAAATCGGCCTATAAATCGATTCGGAACAGAGAAACTGCCGTTCAAGGATGTTCTATCGAAACCGAAAAAACATCATCCGAAGCTTCCTTCACCAGTGAAAAGTCCGAGGAATCTTTCGAGGAAAAGTTCTTCGAAATTAATCAGTGCAGCGACGAGGATTTTGGAACCTGGCTTGCAGTCAAAATGTGCCGCCCTCACTTACTCGAACAATTTAACGGACAAAAGGGCACCGAGCCGATCGGACGGTTGTGATTGCTTTGCTGCGAATGAGCATTCTTGTGGCAATTGTGGCTATTTGCTTCGTGATCTTGATTCCAAACCTAGCATCGTCGACGAACAACAACCGTTGATTTTTGGTTCGCCGTTCTCCCGTTGTGTGGGGCCGCCCTCTTGCCAAGAATCGGAAAGAAGTAAATACGAGGATAATCCAGCTGTCGTGTTCCCATTCCTCGGCGATAATTTGCAATCTCGTGTGGAACTATCGGCTTCTAATAACGGCCCGTTTGGAGGAAATACTCGACGGAATCCCGAACAGTGGAAGGCTCCAAACTACATGCGGAGTCAAACAAGTCAGAGGTCAAAGTTGACCAGAAACAACGGTAAATTCGAGATGGAGAAACAAATAGTCAGCAGTTTGAAGGAAGAATCGGGCCCACCACTGGGGCGAAAGAGGAGGCCGATGAAAGGCGAAAGCTCCGGCGGCTTCACCACGAGTAAACAACCGGGAGGGTATAACAGTCATTTCACTAAAAACAGAAACGAACCGCTCCACATGCAAGACGATGGTGAGGTGGACAACGGCGTAGCCTCATTTAAATTCAACTCCTCGGCGAAACAGAGGAGTGGAAACGCGGAAAGAAAAGTTCGAAGTAATTTGTATTTTGATGACGGGAGAAGGGCAAAGTTAGAAAACGCGGCGCCGCCGCCTTTAAGCGGAGATGCGTTGGGTGCAATATTGGAGCAGAAATTGAAGGAATTGAATAACGTACAACGAGAGGATAATATAACCGGACAGAAAAAGACGACCGCTACGATTCTACAGGAGCTAATATACGCCTTAACTTCCGAGATTCCATTTCAGCACGATAATTTACCGGCTTTACCCGATAGGAGAAACAGTTGGCGCGATAACACCCGTTTTTACAGCTCAGCATCTTCTACTGATTTCCAGGTCAGCCGAAATTCTTGCCATTTCGATTGTGGTTCTGGTAAATTATTTAGTAACTGCGTATACTTAAATTCGTCTCTCTATTCAGGCGAATGCAACGACAATGAAGCAATATGTGGACCCGCCTCTGGAGAGTGAGCACTTAAGCCCTGGATCGGTTCTCGAAGCTTATTATTCGAACGAGAGCTGCGTTTCAAGCAATCTAGACGATAACCTAGGTAAAGGACATGTTTTTACTACAAAACCACGTTCGTTTAATCACATCTTTAAAATCAATTTTCTAATGTTATTATTCGTCTGTCAGGGTACAACGGGCCCCACTTGCCTAACCCCAATTCACATTTTTCGGATTTTAAAAACCCGATTCTTGATATTCTCACAAACGTGTCCGAAATTCTATGCTGCAAGAATCTTGCGAGTTACGGTCTGAAAGGAGACAAATTTGACCACGCAAAGAAGGTGCTCACGGACGCTGAGCTGGCGTTCCACACCTCAGCACTTTCGTCCTCAGTGGTGGGAAGAGGCTCGCCGATCAAGCATCTGCTCGTTGACGAACTGGAGACGCTCGCGAGCATTCTCTGGTTGAATTACGGTTGTACCCTCGGCATCGAAGATGGTGTGGAGGCGAACCAGCTTCGGAGATTTGGGTTGGATGCGGTGATCGAATATTTGGACCAAAGATTCGATTTTTATTCGAAAATGACGAGGAAGTTGGTGGTGGGCCCGGTTCGGATGAACACGAATACGATGATGTTTGAGATTGTGGAGGCTGTAAGAAAGTGGGAGGAGGTGTCGAGGTTTGTTCTTGATGAGTTGGTTGAGAAGGAGCTGAGTTGTACTTTGGGAGAGTGGACCGAGTTCGAGAGTCAAGTGTTTGAGAGTGGTGTGGAGATTAGTGGAGATGTTTTGCAGGTTTTGGTCGATGAAATCGTCGTTGATCTTTCGAAATGGTAGCTTGGATTTTTATTTTATTTTTTTAAAATAATCCGAGGTTCGAACCAACTGGTATGAAGATGCTGCTTTAAATTGTACAAAAATGGTGTTTATCTACAAAATTTTCAAATTATGTCTTTGCATTATCTACTAAATTTTCAAATTATGTCGGTTTCAGTCCGAAAATTTTCGATTTTTGATTTCTGATCTGATTTTTTCGAATATTTTTTGGTCGAAATTGGATCAAAGTGTAGATTACGAAATTCTCGATTTTTGGAAATTTCTAATTTTGGAACATGTTTTTTCATTACAATTCCTAAAATTCCGTTTTCTGAATTTTTCAAAGCGATATTCGAATCAACATAACTTTGGCAGAAAAAACAAAGTTAAAATTTTTCGAAGGTGCTCTCGATCCGATTCATTCCGATTACCACCGCACACTATAATCAAAAATATTTTTTCACAATAAGAATTTTTTTGGCATGCAAAAGTGGCATCAAATTTCAATACTTCATTACAATCCATTGAAAATCATACTGCAAAGCTCTTTCTATACAAAAACTGTAGTCTATGCAAGAAAAATAAACAAATACAAAAATAAAAAAAATCCAGACACACCTCTCACCAAGTAATCAAATTTTATAAAGAATTAAAAGAATCAAAACACCCCCCCCCCCCCCCCCCCCCAAAAAAAAAAAAAACAAATCAAATCAAATTAAATCAAAATCACTGAAAATCAGACTGCAGAAGCTCTCCCTATACAAAAAAGTAAAAATAAAAACCAAAAAAAATAAAAAATCCTGATAAAAAGAATCAAAACACCCCAAAAAAGAATCAAATCATCCAAGAAAAAAATAAAATGAAATACTAGTAATTATCCATTAATCAAATATTCATGATTAATAAAACTGTCTGTACCCCAAAACAGTTTTCCCGATTCCTCTGCCACTCTTCAACAAACCCTTGTTTTCGCCGTTGATGGCATTCCCCGCGGCGGCGGCCAACCCCTTTATCTCCTCCATGCTCGCGTAGCTTTTCCTCGCCATCAAACCACCACCACCACCGCCACTCCTCTTCTCCGCCGCCGTATTCGTAGACTTACTCCCACCTCCGCCCACCTTCCCGTAATTCCTCCCACTCGCCGCCGGCGACCGCTCCGCCACAGGCGGCAGCGGCGCCGCCGGCCTCCGATTCTCCTTCCGCAGAGCGGACGAGAAATCCGGCACGGATTGGGTCAGAACCGACGGCGGTTTCGGCCGCCTCGGCGGCGTCGTGAAATTCGAACTGAGTTTCACCTGCTTCCGCGGCGGCGTCAGAATCGACCGACTGTGAAGCTTTAGATCCTTCTCTTTCTCCGGCGTTTGCTGTTCAGATGTTGAATTCTTCATCCTCAGCCTCTTCTCTCTGAGATCGGAATATTCCTTGAATCTAGGGCCTCTCTCCATGATGAAACTCTCGGTTGTTAGCTGAAGGAGGTGGGGATTGTGATTCGAATCGGCGAATTGAGATAGAATCAGCGATTTGGGATCGAGGGCGGCGTGGAGAGAGTGTAGAAGCGGAGAGCCGTTGGTCTCCGCCATTGTTGTGGTTTTCGAAGGTTTTTGTGTGAGGAATTTTTGGGGGTTTCGTTTCAGCGTAGTGGTCTGGTTTTTAAAAGATTATTTTTTTGATCGCAACGGTCTGATAAAAGAAGAAGGGTAAAAAGGGAAGAGGATAAAAATCAAAGTTTTATTCCCAACGTTCTTATTGAAGTGGGCCCCACCCAAGACACTAATTATTAATTATTTGTTAATCTAAAAAGAAGTTTGATGGATTCTAATTTCGATAGTCAATCCGCTCTTATTAAAAAGAAGCTTTAATTTATCTAATCCCTTGGCTTTTTTTCTTTTGGTTACCAAATTTGGTATGTTGTTTTTATTATATTGACCCCAACATGTTGGCTCATATACTCCTTTTTTAATCGAAAAATAATGGGATGAATCGAAGACATTGAACGACGTCGTTTTGTAAATTATATATCCAGTAAATTACCGTTGCCCCTGAGGTAATTTCAAATTACAAAAAAAACAATACTCTTGTTTGGGTAATTACAAGCACCGCTCATCTGTGAATCTTTTTACGTGTCCACATTTGCGGACTATAGTGTTAAATTTAGTGGAATCTTCTAGATTACGTGGAATATTTTTCAGTTTATATAGATCCATATTTTGAAACAAGATGATCATAAAATATGTCTATTGACTTATAAATATCAAATTGTGGTACATCAGAAACTGCATTTTTGCACAAAACGAGTCAAAACTAGAAAACATTTCACGATATCTAGAAGATTATGTTGAATTTGACATGATAAAGATGAACGTATAAGAAGATTTATAACTGAAGAGTGGTTGTAATTACTACATGAAGAGTCTTTTCATAATTTGACATTATCTTAGGAGCTGACCGTAATTTACACTTTATTTTTTTTAATATTATATAACGTTGTGGCCTATTAAATAATTTTGAAATTAAAATAAGTTTGCAGCTGGATAAAAAGATTTAACATAAAAAATGGACGGCTGTTTTTATGCTTTCCATTTGGCCAAAAAATAACTACATAGTGTGTTTCTTGAATAATAGAAGATAGTTTATTATATTCCAATATTAGACTACCAGATCAGAGCATACACAAATAATCAATATGGACTTCTTTATGTGTATACAAATGGCACTACGGTTAATAAATATTGCACTTTGCAGTTTTAGTACACCACGGTTTAAGGATGTTCCAAATGCCATAATTTTAGACTGTATGATACTTGTATTTCTGACCCAGATTAAATCTATTGATTCGACTACTGAAACCTTCTAGAACAAGCGTCTGTGCCGCCTCGACTCCTTGTTCCAAGGCTGCATCCACCTGTCCCAATCAAAATTCGAGGTTTTACGTCCAGTCATATTTAACATGCAATTAATTAACAAGACAAGAACCGGGTTTATATCTAGCAAGTAACGTACCTGTTTTCTTTCCGAGGGACTGAATTTCTGAAGAAGATAGGCCTTCATATCCATAGTACCAGGTGGATTTCCAATACCTGTGTTTATTATTATATTATTATAATCAAGATTATATAATAGTGAAGGATGGGTTTTCAGTTAGGAAACGAACCTATGCAAAATCGAGGAAATTCGCGACGGCCATCTAAATGCTCCATAACACTCTTCACTCTGTGGTACAATAACAAATAATCTCCGTGTTAAATGAATAAATAATCAGCTTCTATATGTTACAATGCAGAAAATAGTTAATTTGAATTCCTCAATTATACGAGTAACGGGTTTAATAAATATCATCGCATGATTTATCGAGGGAAAATACCCATTGTGGTGACCGTGCCCTCCTTTGGGCTGAACCCTTAAAACTCCATTCGGTAAACTCATTTCATCATAGACCTACAATAATCATGCAAAACGTTGTCATCTAAGTTCTAGATTTACTTTTAATGGAAAAAGTCAAAAAACGAAAATTATATAGTCGGAAGATTTTTAGTAAGTGCTGACCAGTAGGATGTGACGCAAGGGTACTTGATAATACGCAGCAAGCGGCCCAACCTGGTTATACAGCAGATAGACGAAAGAACGCTATGTAACATGGAACATTATTTGAATTGTGAAACAGATAATCTTAAATCAAAATTATATTTAATCACACACACGAACATGAGATGATAATTTGCTTAACGTTTTTTAGAACAGGCACGAAATATCTGAAGAATGCGTGGCACGAACTTCCAGCATTTTTCACCAATAATGAGTTGATCACGGATGCCATAGCAGATTGTGTTTGTCGAGCATATTATAGACAGTTAATGCAATCACAGAGCCATTCACTTAATGAATTCTTTGTATGTTTTTGTAGCAAGAGAAACACCACTAGGCAACGAAAGAACAATCTTTCGACTCTGAGAAGATTCAGACAAAAGCTAACCCTGCTCATACACTTTGTTTGAATTCAAGATCGAATAACTAAATTACTTATATGATGTACTATATCTGAGTAGTTATTCTTAAAATAACTGCTGGGTCGCAATTTTAATTGAATTGCTAAATTACCATACTTCTTAGATAAAAAGAAAAAAAAATCTTATTGAAGAATCTGGCATTTGCGACAAGAGTTCTAAATATTAGGGATCGTCAAAGATTATTAATCTCCATACCGAATGTCACAAACATAACAAGAAAATAGATAAGTTTTTTTATTTTTCTTCTCCAACATATTTTTCATTAGCATGTGATAGCTTTATTAAACACTACCATGTATGTAATATTCCAAAGCAAATAAAGCAAGAAATAGTGACGAGTACAAACCGATTCTCCACTGAAGTTCATATATGACTGAGGTTTGGCCAATAAAACCGGAACCTCTCCAATGGAACCTGCACTAATTGCGTCAAACGATTGGATATTAAATCAATACCGAACAAAACTATAAAACAAAACAATTAATAAATCAACGGAAATAAAAAATCGCAAGCACCTATGCCAATCAAAGCTTTCGACTGTATAGTGTTCATCACAATGCCTTCCGCTTGAGAGAGGCGATCAACCATTTCAAACCCAACCTAGGTTTTTCAACAATCGACAAAATTATTAGCAAGTTAGAAAATTCAAAATTAAACCGAAATTAATAGCAATAAATTTAGCAACGAATACATTGTGACGGGTTCCGTGATATTTGTTTCCGGGATTTCCCAATCCGACAATCAGCCATGGAGTGTATTCAGTCTTGACCCCTTTCGGCTCTGCTGACGTGGCCGATACCTTAAGCCTGGTTGAAGATGTTAAACGCCTTTGAATTGGGGTTCTGATTCTAGTGTAAGTGATGCTACCACTACAAATTTTAGGCGAAGAAACTGCATACAACATTGACCTAAATACATACATAAAAGCCTAAATCAGATTTTACTTTTCCAGAATACTGAAACTCCATTTATGTAAAATTAAAAATCAAATCAGTAAAAACATACAAATTACTGCAATTAAAAATTGGGGAAAAAAAATTTGTATAACACAAAAATATAGAACAATTCTAGGGTAAAAAACACAGAAACTGAGAGGAAAATCGGTAGATAAAATTCCGACCCAATTACAGCAAAATTACACACTAAACGTAAATAGAGAAAGAGGAGCGTGGCGTAGAGAAACCTTTATTCTGGGCGTACAAAGTAATTTGGTTTTGTTGAACTGTGAGCACCGGCCGCCACTAATGGCCGTCGCTTAGGCGGTTGGATGTTTTTTCACGGTGAACGGTGGCCGGAGCAGAGTTGTAATATTTAGTACGAAAATAGCAGAAATGTATATAAAGCGGGATATTATGAGATAATGATTAGGAAATTGTTTATTTTTATTTTTTTGTTGGGAAAATTCCACAACACCCCCTGTAAATTTCTAATATTTGCACTTTACCCTTCAAAATTTTTAAAAGTGAATATCCCCTTCAAAATGTTATTCTTCTTGCACATTACCCCGATAGCAAAACTCATCGGAATTGAGTATTTTTGTTGCACATTGCCCCTTAAAAACAATATTTTTCACACATTGCTCCTTTAAAATATTATTTTTATTGCACAGTGCCCTCAAAAATTTGACTTCTGGGCAAAGTGCAATTAAAATAGTATTTCAAAGGAGGAGTGGGAGTATTTTTTTTTTAATTTTTTGGGGGAGAATGCAAAAACGGAAAATTTATAGGGGGTGAACTGCATTTTGTCCTTTGCACTGAAGAAAAGAAAAGTAATAACCAAGCTTAGAAAATGGTTGAAAATTGAAATCAAATCACCACCTTGTCACTCGATAATGGCGTCATCTATTTTGTCTCTCCTCCTCCTCCGGCGCCGTCCACCCCTAAGTTCCTTCTGCCGCCGCACATACACACACAGGAAGCCGCCATAGAATTACAGAGCCGCTAATCGTCACTTGAATGCAACATTTGCTACAGCGCCTTTGGTTCTGGTAAAAACATATCTCTCTCTCTCTAAGATTGTTTCACGGTCGGAACTTCATTTTTCTTCAATTTAATGTCGTGCTAATTAATTACTTCTTAATTCCGCAATTAATACTCCTTCCGACTTGCATTAAAGTATATTGTGGAAAAACGCAAGTGTTGGTTATCTTTCCTCACTGCCGTACGTTTTACGATTTAACTTTTTGATTAATTAATTTTTTTTTTGATCAAAATTTTACTGTATGTTGACTTTTTTTTTTTTTTTTTTTTTTTCTGAAGCAATTTAAGTATTGGCAGGTCAGTTTAGTTGAAAATGCAGGCTTTTCTACATTAGGTGTCAAAGCAAAGTAATTTGAGGGAAAATAGCTTGGCATTAGTAAGTAAGGATCTTCGCATTACAGAATCGGGCCAATTGCTTCGGGCTTGGCCACGTCTCGAATTCGATGGAAACGAGGGGGAGTATCGAGGGTGTGTTCTCATCTTCTTCCAAGGCCAGATCATTCAGAGCTCAATCTTCTGATCTGTGTTTCTTGGAATTTACTAGTATGTGAATTTCACTTCAATAGTTAGCACCAGCTGTGAATTTTGAGTGAATTTTTTGTAATTAATTGCGAATACTGTGAAAGGGATTATATAGTTAAACCTATATAAAGTAATACAGTGGGGACTAGAGAAATTCTATTAATTTAGCGAATTATTAAAATTATCGAGTTAATAATTTAACACGTTTTCACCGAGTCGGGATTGAGATAAACTATTATTTAATCGAGGTTATTAATTTATCGAGGTTCTACTGTAGATGTTAAATTCCTTAAAGTTGCAGCAATGATCTGTAACAGCTTCTCTTCATGTGGAATTATGCCCGGGTTTTCGTCACGTGTGTTTAACTCATTCTGTTTTACTACGTAACTCTACTTAATAGAATGTTATAATCGAAGACGACTACTTTCAAAGTGATTTCTTACATTGAAATCAGCACTTGTCTTCTTGTGCGGCAGACGGAGATGTCGAGGATGTTGCACCTGCCAAAATCCAAGTGAAATCATACGAATCAGTATTGCCGTACGTCGGTGTCTCTTGTTTAGGGGCCGTTTTGTTTGGATATCATCTAGGGTACGCACTATTTTATATCGAATTTTCTTGTTTGGTAAATGGGATTTTTCGATTCATGTTTGCTGTTAATTACACTTGTCTTATTCAGGGTGGTTAATGGAGCTTTAGAGTACCTTGCCAAGGATCTCGGTTTTGCAGAGAACACGGTTTTGCAAGGCAAATTGTGGGCCAACATTCTTTTAAGTTTGTTCGTGTTAAGTTCTAAACGTTGATCGGTTGTATAGTTTCTACGTATAATAATAAACCAGCATTTGATAAACAAAGCTTTGACATCATTTGCAGTTAACGTATAGCGCCTATTCAATAAATGTATAACCTGTCAAAGTCAATCATCGTAGACAAGCTAATTAAATAGCAATTGCAATTATGTAATTATCTTTCCATTTAACGTATGTAAATTCCAATCACTGGAAAACGACAATCCGAATCCGGTTATAAGTATGCATGTAATTGACTTAGATTGCATTTAATAAACTGCAGTCGTACTATGTATTGGATCTAGTACTCAATACATAATAAATTAAGATTACCTTGACCAGAACGCCTTTTGTGAAATGAGTTTCTAGGAATCTTTACATAATTCTTTATCTTTCTCCGTCGAGACGAACCCATAATTTTTTTTTTCTAATTATTTTAAATCAGGTTGGGTTGTTAGTGCACTTCTTGCTGGTGCGACTGTCGGTTCTTTTACTGGAGGTTCATTAGCCGATAAATTTGGCCGAACAAAGACTTTTATGTTGGACGCAATTCCATTAACAGTTGGAGCATTTCTTTGGTTCGTATTACTTTTTCATCTTTCGATTTTTGTGTTTGATAGATAATAAAACGAGGACATTCGTCTTAACTATCTCCCAATTACGCAGTGCCACAGCACAAAGTATAGAGACGATGATAATCGGCCGCTTACTCTCTGGAATCGGAATCGGCATATCATCAGCTATTGTGCCACTTTACATATCCGAGGTCTCGTTTTCTTACCTATTACGTGGGCTTTCTCGTTTAAATGATTTCATTATACAATTGACACGATTTCTATTGCCAGATCTCACCTACTGAAATTCGTGGGACGCTCGGATCCGCCAACCAGTTATTTATATGTATCGGGATTCTTGCAGCATTGGTAGCTGGATTGCCTTTGGCAGGGAATCCTTTGTGGTATATTCTTGCAAGCTACGTTGTTGCATGAAAATTTTACCTATTATGTAATTGAGAAACAAAACACGGTCCTTCATCATTTTACAATAATCTAGGTGGCTGACTGAATGAGAACAGAAAAATAAGTCCGATTTTGACAATTCTCATGCATTTTATATAACAACTTACGAGACGTCTTATGACTTGCGAAAAATGCCATATCTTCCTAATTCGTTTGTATTCAGCCCGTTATGAATTGCATCGAGGTAAAATGATTTCCTCTAGTGCTGTACAATTTTTCTTGATCGTAATTTTTTTTTTTAAAAGGTGGCGGACAATGTTTGCTGTTGCAGTTATCCCATCTGTACTATTGGCACTTGGAATGGCGTTCTCTCCCGAAAGTCCCCGATGGCTTTATCAGGTTTCGTTTTAAGCTTCATAGAATGTCTATTTTCGTCTTTTTTCTGCGTTCGTCCATGGTATTTGTGGCGAAGTAATGCTAAGTTGTGCACGTATATATTGAAGCAAGGGAAAATTTCTGAAGCTGAAGTTTCCGTAAAAAGACTGTACGGCAAAGAAAGAGTTGCTGAGTTTATGAGTGACCTGGATTCAGCAGGTCAAGGTTCCTCCGAACCCGAAGCTGGATGGTTTGATCTTTTCAGCAGTCGTTACAGGAAAGGTATCAAGTTTTATTACACGTATTTTTCATGACATCAGCATTACCGCAGATGCATGTTTTCATTCAAGTTTCTCCTTTGGCCGAAGCTTAATAAGTTGCTGGTGCTTGAACGCTGATTAATTATATGTAATCATCACCGTTAATTATGTTTTTCTTAATTAAGAACAATTCTGATTATTTAATGGCCGATAATCACTAAATAAATTTGTTTCATTTTTTTTAGTTGTCAGTGTTGGGGCAGCTCTCTTTTTGTTCCAGCAGTTTGCTGGAATAAATGCAGTTGTTTACTACTCGACTTCGGTTTTCCGCAGTGCTGGTGTTACATCTGATGTTGCTGCCAGTGCTCTGGTCGGGGCAGCAAACGTTTTCGGTTAGCATTATATTTCACGTTCTAAAAAAAGATTACTGATTAAAATTATTGAATGCCAACCTTTTTTTTCTTTTCCAGGAACAACTATTGCATCATCGTTGATGGATAAAAAGAGGAGCGGAAAAGTTCTTTTGCTTATAAGTTTGCAGGAATGGTACGTCTCGATGAAAAA